AACCACACAAATCTGAACGACCACATTGATTCCAAAGCTGGTGCTTGGTTTAAGCATCTCTCCAGGAGACAGCATAGTTTATCTTCAGGCCCACAAGGCCAGAGTCCCCTCTACTCCACTTCCCTGTTCCACAGGCTGAGTGGTAGCACCATGGGCTCTCCATGCGGAATAACCAGGGGGCGGGGTGGAAACAGATATGTGCTACACCGTGATGAGCACACCCCACACTAGCATGTACCTGTTCTCAGAGGAAAAGCCAATCAAAGGTGGTTAGTACACTGAGGCTAAAAAATTCTTTGTGGGCTGGGAAGATGGCTGAGAGACTACGAGTACTGAATTCTCTTCCTGAAGACCCGAGATGGCATCCTAGCACCCGAACGGTGGCTCACAATTGCCTATAACTCCACTCCCAGGGGATCTGATGCTGCTTTCCGACCTCCTCTTGCACCAGAAATTCATGTAGTATACACACGTACACAGATCAAAACCACCCAACACAAAATACAAAAGTAATAAAAAAATTTTAAAGTCATTTGTCTTGACTGGAATTCTAACGGGAGAAGAGAGAGCACTGGACTGACATTTTGGGAGGACAAACAAACAAGACCATACACTTCAAAACGAATGAAAAGGCAAAACCTAATCTTTTTCTACAGAAGCAGCATGGAAAGAGTTAATTAATACAGAAAGTTATAATACAGCAAAGGATAGACTTTAACACAACGCCAAGTGATCAAAAAGATATTTGAAGGTTGCTATAATGCAAACCTTATTAAAATGCATATATATGGATATCTGTGGATATAAAATGCATATATATGGATATCTATGGATATATAATACATATATCCCAGAGATCTCATTCACACATACAAATGCATACCAAAAACATCTGATTATGATTTCAAAGGAAGATGGATGAGACAGAGAAATGTCATCCTCCTACCTGATGCCCCAACACATTTTCAGATCAAAACCTTTATCTTGAAATATACAAAATCAACAAATTACATTTTTTTTATTTTAAGCCATAAGATCTTTTCAAATCAGGACCTAAGCAGGCACTTGAAAATGGACTTCCTTGTGTTGTCTGTGTGTTTCTAAACAGGCTTTCTTCTTACAAAAAGGTTACTCTGCTTCTTACAAAAACATGTTGACATATTTAATACAAAAAAACTATAAAGTAGGAGGAGGAGAGAGATAGAGATAGTCATAAACAGGCATTAACAAAACACTTGCAGACCTCTAAAGATACCCTCCCATCACCTTGGCATGAGCTTCTCAGGCACCAATTTTTTTCCATCTATAGAGCTCAAAGATGTGGGGAAGTCAGGGGACAGGCACGTGTTTACTGTGAAGAACTCACAGCCAAGTATCTCAAAAGTTAAATATCTCATGCTACCATTCCTTGTCTAGCTTGTACTATTGTCCCTCAAGGATGGAGAATCTTATCAGCAAATTCAGAGAAATGCCAACTATCCCTCAGTGCTGGAGGCTGAGTGCAAACAGGAACCTGGAGTTCTGGGTAGGGCATCCTCAAAAGTAAGTCCTTCTCCTACGAACATTAGCAAAATCAGCAACCGGTTCAAAACCAGACCTGCCAAATGCTTTCCAACTTTTATTTGCTCAAGTGTAAATCAATTTAGAGAAATTGCTGCATAGACAACTCCTCTTTCTAAGGTGAGGGGGAGAGGGGAAAAGGGTCTTTGCAGGGAACCTTCAGAATGCTGTCTCTCCCACTGACTTGGTAAAGCCTGCAGTGACTTAACTACAGAGTTTTCTGAAGACCAGTTTATTCCGGGACCCTTCCTGCTCTCAGATACAGAGGCTGTGAGTTGGGAGACACAGAGGGATGAGAAGTAAAAACCCAAGTGCTGGTGCATCAGAGTGCACTGGGTATATTCACTGAGAAATCCAAGCCAGGAGCTATCAGAGAGCATCAAATCCCCAAGGAAAAAGCAAAACAGGCTCAGACAGAAGTCAGATTAATGGTTCCTAGATCGGGCATGTGATGGCAAGGCTAGGAGGGAATGGTTCATAACTGCCAATCAGTTTTCTTTTTGGAATGACAGAAACATTCAAACATTGCTTGTGGTGATGGCTGTAGGACTAAGTAACATTAGCACATGTTAACAAATGGGTGTACTTCCTGTGTGGTGAATTATACTTCAATTAAACTTCAATAATATTATCCAAATTAAAATTTAGTGTGTGGAAGATGGCTCAGTGGATGAAAGCATTTGTCCAGCAAGTGTGAAGACGAGTCCAAATCCCCAGAACCCACATAAAGCCAAGCACACTCACATCCATGTTTAATCCCAGTGTCTTATTACTCCTGTAGTGGGACGGGAGGGGATGCAGGAAAGTCTTGGTGGCAGCTAGCCTGGGATGTATGTATCAGCAAACAAGAAAGACAACAAGGGGTGGGGTGGGGAGAAAGCCCCAACACCTGCCATACAAGTGCTGTGGCAGCACACGTACCCATATTCACACGCAGAGGTGTAAAACCAAAACAACCAACCACAAAAATGTCTGCATTTCCCTGATCTGTAAGATCAGAAAGCTGGTAGGGAAAGGTAAGATTTGATGAGAGGGTATGAGAAAAAATCAGAGAGTCCAGATGCTGTAAGATGACACAAGGTCCTTAACTACAAGGTCAGGTGCCTAGAGTTTCTTTGGACCCACAATAACTGGAATAGCATCCTGACTTCTGCAGGCTGCTCCACCTATGCGTGGTCTGCAGCAGCACAAGGGGTCTCATTAAGCATAGTACAGAGGCTACAGACAACCCTAAGAGGCTGCAAGCTGTTCCCCTTTACTTCTAATGATGCATCTGATAAGGATTACACACAGGAAACAATTACACAAAAGACTTTCATTTGTTTATCTGATAAAGACAGCGCACATGCTCAGACAGCATCTAAATATGTGGTCTGCATGGCCGTGTGTATCTCCTGGCATTAATTAGCACTTCCCATAGGGATTCTGGTTTTCCTCAGCTGAATTTTCCACCATCACTGGGCTAGCTCTTCAGGCTGCGAGCATCACTCACTGGTGGTGAAAGGAAACTGGTTTGGGCTCTTGGCAACATCTGCCACACACTGACATCAAAATTTGGCACTCCGCTTTACAGCTTAATTAACACTCAGACAGGCATGTAAAGATGCTGATGTGGGTCCACAAACAGAGTTTCCTTTCGGATGGACAGTCAGGATGAGAACGAGAGCGAGGGCCTTCAGCTTCACAGGGCACACAGATGGCGAACAGGGTTTTTGAGCGCCTCTCTCAGAAATGGGTTTTCTTCTAAAAGGGAACCGCACACACCGAGGTTGGGAGGCTGCTGGGCTCAGAACACCTCTGTCTACCCCCATCCCAAATTCAAATGATGAGGCTTAACTCCTAAGGCAATGGTTCTAGGAGCAGAGCTTGGGCTGGGGAGATAGCTCAGCTTGGAGTGGGTAAGAGCATTTGCTTGCACAAGCTTGAGAGCATGAGTTCAGATCCCCAGCATCTGCACAAACAGCCAGGCATGGCCTAGTGTAATCTGGAACCTATTGGTGAGGGGCAGACACAGGCAAATCAGTGGGGCTTGCTGGCCAGCCAGGCTAGCTGAAAACCCGCACGCTCCAGGGTTACATTGAGAGACCCTGCCTCAAGAGAATAAAGCCCCAGCCAGGGCGTGGTAGTACACAGGAGGCAAAAGCAGGCAGGCGGGTTACACAGAGAAATCCTGTCTCAAAAAAAGCAAACAAAGAAGAGAGACAGAGAGAAGAGTATAAAGCTCTGAGGGAGAGACAAAGAATGTTGGTCTCTGCACGCATGTGCATGCATGAGCTTGTATGCATGCACACCCATGAACACATGCACGCACACATGCAAGGACACACGCATGTATGAACAAAAACACACACACACACACCTAGCTCCTGTGTTTCTTGGAGGTCAGTTTTGAGGGATATGTGCTATGAATAGAATCAGTGCCCTTTAAAAAAAAAAAAGGCTTCTGGATCCAGGATCCAGGTCAGCCTATGTGTTCTTTTAGCATGTGAAAACATAGACAACACTGTCCACCCATGAGGAGGAGGCCCTCACCACATACTGAACTCCTGGGACCTTGATGTTGGATGCCCATGCCTCCGGAACTTGAGCTTAGGCTATTTAAGTGATCCCACCTCCGGCATTCTGTTACAGCAGCCCTGGCTATGACAGAAACCTCACACGGAGCCTGAGGCACTTCCAGGAGGCACATGGCTGCTGCCCTGCTCAGGAAATCATCCAACATCAAATCTTCAAGTGGAAGAAAGTGGGCTCTTGACAACCATTACTGCCAGTGACATGGATGAGAAGACTTAAGGGATATTTAAGGGAAACAGGATGGAGTACAATGCCAGACAGTCAAACAGCAGCTTTGAAGAAATGCTGGATAAAGCAACTGTTTAGCATCCAAGTTGGGGGAGGGAAGGGAGTGTGTTTTGGGAGTGTTTTAATCAGACTGCCACAGGAATGAGACTTCCATGATACCTGATTCTTCCTCCATGTATTACGTAAAATCATTCCAAGTCATTCGCTTTTTAAAAGGTGGAATGCCTTAAAACTCATGAAGAAAGTTAAATATGCTGAAAACAATGTGTTTGCTCAAGCTGCAGGTAAAAGGTATAAACTGCTCCCAAGTGGTGAGCATCACCGAATGTCCCTTTTGGGAGGTCAAAGGAGGCAGTGCCAGTATCCACATTGATTTGGGGATCAGAGGAATTGACAGGAAGAGAGAATTAGGAAGAACTAAGTCCTTCTTCCACAGAAGTCAAACTTAACAAGATTACGAAGGAAAACATTAAGACACTTCAAAGGGAAGGTAGCCTGGCATGGGCCCAGAGCCTGGGAATAAAGAACCAACAGAGCCCTTGCCAAGTACCCAGCCTCTGACAGACGGGACACACTGGGATGCCTCACGCAGCTGGTGCCAAAATGTAACTTTAGCCTCCATGCCCAGGAGGAAACAGATTCGTCAGAAACCTTCTTCATAGGCTTCCCTTCAACAAAACTGGATTAGCCTTGGCTCAGCACGCATCCCAGATACCTTCTTCAAGGGCCAGACGGTGACCAGGCCTGAAAGGGCTCAGGCTGGAGTCAGCAGGTGGGAGGGGCTGGTTCAGACGAGCCTTCAGCTGGGCAGGCTGTATGGACACCCCAGTGGGGCAGGAAGGCGGTGGAGCAGAGGGCCTGTCCAGGGAACTCACTGCCCATTGCGGCCATGGTGGCGTCAGTCCTGTTTGCAGAGCCTCTGGCCCAGGTGGTGGGTCTGTCTGCAGCCTCATGCTGCCATGCTGGACTGGCCGCAGAATTCCGGATGGAGATGGTAGCATTTTGTTTGTTTGCTTTACTAGCCCTGCAACAAAATCCTTGGAGCTGGAAGATTCTATGAGGTGAAGGACCCTGAATGTATGGAGACGGTCAAGAAATTGATTCAAAGCTTCAGTTATTAAGGAGTAGGCTGAGGAAGAACCACACAGTACGTTTCTTAGGTAAGCAAGTCAATCTGTCTCTGTGACTGCTCTGTTTACACCTTAGTGGTTATCTTTGCCAAAACATGCTTCAGATTTCAGTGTCTCCAATAGTTACTGATAGTATGTAAGCTAGGACACTGAATGGCTTGCACCTGAATAAGATCTGAATACTTCTGCAGCTGCTCTGTCACCAAGGAGAACCAGTCTGGGGACCCAGGAGCCTGAGGCCCCATGGTGATGAAAAGAAGGAAACAATACCAGCCCAAGTATCTGACATTACTGAGCCAACTGAATCCATCAACTCCAAGATCTGCTTTCCAAAAAATATTTACTTTCTTAATGCTTAAGTATGTCTTGATTTAAGAATTCATTTTAAAATGTATACCTAATAAAAGGTATCCCACATGAGTACCTACTATGAGGGTATCTGAAAAGTACCTAGCTAAAATCTCCCAAATATATATCAATTTGTGCTTGAGAACATACATGCATGTGTGTATGTGTGTTGAAACTAGGGCCTCTTGCAAGCTAAGGGGGCAACTTAATCTTCACTTCAAGCTACATACCATCCTGTTCAAAAATGTTTGTTTTGAGACAGGGTCTCGCTAAGTTGCCAAGGCTGGCCTTAAACCCTAGCTAGCCCTGACCCTCCCTGTAGTTCAGGGAGGCTTGAACTTCTGCTTCAGCTCCCTAGCTGAGGTTACAGTCCTGTACCAACAGGCCTGGCTAGCATCCAACACTTAACCTAAAGAGATGTGTACTCATTCCTGGGCTGTTTCTTGACAGAGCGTCTCAAGTGTGGTCCCCAGAGAAAGCTGTGCTTTTGTGACCAGACAACTTACTAGCACCAGTTCCCAGGCCTCACCCCAGACTTAGTGACTCAGAAATCCTTGGGTGTAGGGACCAGCAAACTGTTTGAATAAGTACATTGGAGGTTTTGCCATTTAAGAACCTCTGCTGCTTAAGCCACCAGGTTCCATTCATCATTAGTCACAACCAAATAAACGTTGAACCATGCAAAATGGGCTATACAAGGGCCACCCAGCCCTCTAGTCCCTAAGCCAAGTATTGTCACAGATGAAAGGCCAGGAAAGAACACCCGACAGCGCCCGCCCGCACAAAAGCTTCCCCATCGTCACCGTGAGTGCATAACGAGGCTATCAGGGAGTGTCTGAAAGAAGAAGAAACCCTGGGAACAGTGAACCTGAGAAAAGATACAGACGTTTTCCTGACACTGCTGATAATTAGGCAACTGGTGGTAAAAAGTGAAACAAAGACAGAATCGTCAAAAACCCGGGGGGGCTGGGCACGGCCAGACTCGAATATAACTGGACAGAAAATATTCCTGGGATGGTGAGAGGCAAGGTGACTGTGAGAAAATACCATGATATATGCATCCTGACTTAAAAAATTTGAAGGAGAAAGTAAACAATAATAATACACTACTCCCACAAGGCACCGGGGCCTGAAGATAGGACCCACGGAGGGCAGCAAGAGCTGAGCATTGTGGGAACACAGCTGTGAGTGGCTGGAGAGATGGCTCAGTGGTTAAGAGGGCATGCATACTGCTCTCTCAGGCAACCTACGCTTGGATCCGGGAACCCACGCTGGGTGGTTCAGCTATAGGAGATCTGACACCTCTGGCCTCAATGTCTCCCTCTCCTTCTCCCTCCCCTTCTCCCTCTCCCTCTCCCTCTTCCTCCATTGCTCCCTCCCTCTCCTAGCAATGTGTACTCAGTGATGGGAACTGAGCCTCTCTGACTGCTGAAATATTGGCATGGGTTCTACGGGAAGTGGAGAAATGAGATGTTACCCATGCAGACAAGGAAGGAAGGTGGATTTAGTCATCAAAGCTTATACAATCAGATATGCTTACCCGAAACAGTTTGAGTACAAAGCTTGGAAATTTTGAGATTATTCCATAGCTCTGTAGAGGAAGGGCTTGTATATGGAGCCCTCGGCAGCACTCTCAGAACACACCCCTATTCCTAGGGAGCAGACTGGGCCCTTCCCCCAGACTACCTGACAGTTGTTTGAAATGATGCCTGAGTCAACACGCTTTCTGAATTGTTAGCTATCCAGTGTGTACTAGCTCTGATGTGTATCCACTTGTCAGAAATAATCAGCTACGCAACAATATTAAGGGGGTTAAATACCTTGTGCCCCCTAAAAGTTAAGGGCTGGGGCCAGTAGTTAAAGGGCTTGCCACCCAAGTGCAGGGCTATTTTGGAACGCAGAACCCATGTGCCTGTAATTCCCGTCTCAAAAGGTGGAGATGGGCTTGCCCAGAGCAAGCTGTGAGGTGAGACCAGACATGGCATGAGCTCTGGGTCTGATTAACAGAATGAGTAAGGTGGGAAAATGGCGGAGAACCATCCCAGCAGCAACCTTGGGTCTCCATGATCATGTGCACACATCGTGCGCTTATACACACTCAAACACACATATGCACATACCACACACATGGAAATGGGAAAGGGGGGGGGGAAATTGTTTACTTTTCTTCACTCACTAATAAGGGATTCTGAATGGAAAGGGACCACACGCATCCTATTCTAAGGACTAGTCTAGGCTCAAAGGGGCTATGACTAGGATGTGTGAACATTGCCGTCTTAACACCTCAGAAGAGGGCTGCACAAACACAGTCAAGGTCTGTGGCTCTCTGAAAAGTACATAAGAACATAAAAGATTTACAAGTAAGTGCTGAAGGACCGTACGTGTGACTGGAGAGGCTAGAGAGATAGTTAAGAGCACTGGCTGCTCTTCCAGAGGTCCCAGGTTCAATTCCCAGCACCCACGTGGTGGCTCACACCATCTAACTACAGGTCCATGGGATCTAATAAACTCTCTGGCCTCTGTGGCCACCAGACACACCTGTAGTGCACAGGTATACATGAAGGCAAAACGCCCATGCACGAAAAATTAAAAAAGATAACATAAACTAAACTGGCAAGGGGTAGCAGTGTGGAATAGGCCCTGAAGCCTTTGTTTTCTACCTTTGTTTCACTGAGGATGGTGCCCATCTAACCTTATTCTCCTTGCCAGTGACTGGTACAGGAAAGGCCATGTGACTCAGTTCTAGCGTATTCCCGTGGGCCATCTTCCATAGCTCTAAAGGGGGCACACGACGCTAGGTCAGGATGCCACGCTGTTTCTATGTAATCTGAGGGTGTGCTGGCATGAGCGGGGCAGGAGAGTGCAGTGGCTGGGACAACTTGGGCGGCTGATGGCAGCACTGTGCCAATACTCAATTAACCTTAAAGACGTTCTTCCTGGATTTAATATAAAGCAGACACTCTGAGTCAAGATTTTTCTTGGTCTCTTATTTGCACCTGGTACACAATCAAACAACAAGACTAAGATGAATCAGAAGATTTCTCAAGAGCCTGTACTGCCAGGCCCCAGAATGCGGATAGTTTGCTATGGGCAAGACTTCATCATGAGGATTCTTATGTTGGTAGAAACTTGGATGGGATAGAGAAGGGCTCCTGCCTGAAGTCTATGAAATATTTTATTCCACCACCCTCTTATAGGGTTCCAGAAGTGTGCCAACAGAGACAGACCCAGCATGGAATATCCTAAGACAAGGGAGAGGACTAGCCTGCCTCTGCTTAAAACCCATTTCCAACTACTCCCTTAGATGAGGCACCCAGGCACTCTCCTGGGGAGGCTCAATTACAGACCCTCAGAGTAGACCATTCCGTTCACAAAGAGGCAGTCAAAAGGCAGCTAAGGAATTAATTCCCAAAGCTCATCCCAGAGGAAGGCTTTGCCCTGTACCTTGGGGCTGCTAAACCTACGCAAGGAAGCTCTGAGAAAAAAAAAAAGCTCTAAGCTGTTGCATTCTGCAGAGCATCCATCTGCACCAGTTACAGTAAATGAAATAAGTAATTATCTTCTCCATGCTCCCAGTAATTACCTTCTCCAGCCAGTTTTTAAAATAGTTTCTATTAACTTTCCTTTTGAGAAGAACAATACAATTACCACACCATCCCATCCCTTCCTTTAACCTTGTCTCTTAGAGCCCCAAGGTAAAGGCCAATTATCAAGACAAATAAAGCACCTCATCCCAAAGAGCAAAATCTCAGAGCACAGAACTCAGTAATTTGTTTTCGAGTAAGAAACCCTGGAAAAGCTGGTGGCTACTGGCACTATAGCACAAACCCTGCTAGACATTCACTTCTGCTCCTACAACTCGACCAATATCTCCTCATACACTAAGAGTCAAAGTTCACCTCCATCATTCAAGTTTCACTGAGTGGTTATACAGGCCAGGTTCCACTGAGTGGTTACACAGGCTAGGCATAGTGTTCATTCTAGGGAGAGGGGGTTGACAGCAAGGCTGGGTACGCGTGGAGGGAAGAGAGCTGGAAGTCATCATGACACACCTGTATTGTACTTCGTCCAGCAGAGAGCTCAGACCTACAGAGGTGCAGAAAGACGGAGGATGACCCAAATAAGGATGTCGACAGAGGAAGAGAGGACACCCGGCCGTCAGGGAGTCTTAGAAATGAGTAAGTTGGCCCTGGAGGGAAGGAAGCAGGCTCTTCCAAGAGGGCAGGGGCAGAGCCCACAGGATGGGGTGTGTATGAAGTTGTGGGAAATCAGATATCCAAGCGTGGATGACTAAGGCTGTGTGTGCCAAGCTAAGGAATTTGCCTTGTATTTTGAAACCAATGAGGAGCTGGGGGCGGGGGGGGGGGGGGTCACTAAAAGACACCTGGGCTCGGTTAGTCTTCTGGAATTGCTGTTCTGGACTGGCACAAAGGAAAGGACTCAACTAGAGGGAGAGAAGCAAGAAAGCCCTCAGCTGTTCCAGCGGAGGAGTGGGGAATGGAAGCAGAAGTCGGGGTGGGTAACTGCGCCCCAGAGTGTACATGCTGGCTCTCAAGACAGGAAAGCAATCTCGAATCATGGGGTGGCATCCCCGGGAACTCCCTGGTCCAGCTGCCTGCCCAGAACAGAAGCCTCACAAATGCTGAGTGCTGGACTGTGGGTTACAGAACTTGAATAGATAATTCTGTTTGCGGGGCACATACTGCACTGCGTGTTTAATCCATCACCAACTTGCAAGCTCATGGTCTTTATCTCGAAGGCAAAGGAACAGACACAATCTGTGGATGCATTTGATGCAAAGCAGAAATAACAGCAATACACGCACCTCCAACTGCTTATACAGTGACTCGTCCCCCACCAGCCAGGAAAGTCCTCGCTGTGCCCTTTGTTTATCTTCCAACAAGCAAAGTTTGACCAAGCTCTCTACAGCCTCTCTCACTCTGGACCTGACTGAGTTCATGCTTTGGATTACTGCCTTTTATTCCTATTATTCTCTTTGCTCCTAACAGGAGTGGCCAGACTCCATCATGGATGAGGTAATACATGCAGAGCCTGGTCAAGCATGCGACATACAGAGGCCCTGGGAAGACAGGTCACTACTGTGGCTATGTGAAAGCCACACCCTCAGCCACTCACTGGGAACTCCATTAGTCTCTTTACCTCTTTCATAGGCACGGGGATGTCCCTGACATGTTTGTACCACAGACATGTAGTAGTACAACCTAGAGCATGGACTCCAGGGGTTAGAGGGAATCGGGTAACATTTGTCATTTATATTTGCTTCTGAGAAAGATAACTTTGTCTCAAGACATGTGTTTGGATATTTATAATCTGTTTGGACAGGAGGAGCAATAGTTAAGTTACTGAATCAGAAAATGTCACAGCTTTCCGCAATTCAGCCGAGCAGATGGCAAATGACTATTTTTACAGCTTGTTTCTCCATTACATGCAGAAATATTTATTAACATTGTATTTCTGTTGCATGTGTGCAACCATCAGGAAGACAAGGCAGGCAGCTGTCCCAGAGGTGGGGGAAGGGTACGGGAGTGGGAGCAAGCTTGGGCTGCTTTTACTAGGCAAGCAAGCCAAGCCTGAGCATATGGGAGGGAGCCAGGGTATCTGCTCATCCCTGTGACAGAAAGAAAGTGCCATGTCAGGAAAACTCATATGCAGGGTTAGGAGCAGACATCCTCCCATGTAATCTGAGATCATAAAATACACATTATTTTATGTGTCACTGAGAAAGGAAAAACATTCAAGATGGGGAGTTGAGCAAGGCAACCCTCCACTGGTCCACCTAGGGCCACCAAACGTCACCAAGAAATCAACTCTCTATAGAAACAAGGATGACAAGGAGATGTATCTCAGTGTGGGAACTAGAAACTGGGCAGACCAAGAGGAGTCTTCTTTGAGGACCTGTCCTGTAGGTCCTGTCCTGTCCTGTAGGTGGCCAATGGCCCTAGGGCCGGGAATCTATAACATTGGCTCTGGTTTCTCAGCACTCCTGGTAACCAGCAGAAGCCAAGGATGTAGAGACAGATCTGCGACAAGTGGACAGACAATGTGCATCTAGGAGCAGAGACACATGAAGGCAGCTATGTCCAGTGTAAGACCCAACTTGAGAGTTATTCAGAGTCTACAGCTAAGAACAAAGTCAGGAAGAGGCCAACACAGAAACCAAGGTCCAAAGGCGGAAGGGGAACCAGCAGGTGGCCCACTGACGGGAACGGACCTGAGGAGGGATCTACAGCGAAACCTTGCAGTTTCTGCCCTTCCCTCTGATTGTCTAACTTCAAGTCAGGAGACAAGGGCTCTCTGCTTTAGCTCTCTCGAACAATAAAGGGGGAAAATGTTCTCTAGGATCAGGGAGGAAATGTAACAAACAACTGTTTAAAATATTTTGTCTATTTAAGACAATACCATGTCGGGAAAACTGTGCTTGCTATAATTGATGAAAGATGTCTGAATACTCCTTATAGATTTTGTGGTTTATTTTTAGTTAGCATGGAACAAACAAGTAAATAAACTCTTGCTAAGTAACCAAGCACATATTGCTGACATGGGCCTCAACCCTGTTTGGACCCAAATTCTTCAGGAGGCTTAGTTATTACTTATTGCTAAAAATAGAAAGAGAGAGAAAAAAAAACAAATCCATCAATCCAGGACAGGATGTGGAGTCCTCAATCCCCACACATCTACTCCCAGCCACGACACCACCACCAAAGTAGAATGATATCATTTTTTTCCCTTAACAGCTAGACCTCAGCCGATGATCCACAATGGGGCCAGACAGGATGGAAGAGACCAAATCCAAACCAGGACTATTCCAAACTGGGAAAAGATCCTCGGCAGCGGCATCTGGGCTCTCGGAGACCAGACCAGCATCAGGGTCTCCTAGACTATGTGGAGGTACCTATCAGGAAAGCTTATTAACAAGGAGAAAAAGAAGGTCCTGTCCATGGCACAGAGTAGACAGACAGGGAGAAAGGTGTTTGGGGCAGGGATCTAAGGCGAATGCATCTACGTCAAACCCCGCTGGTCCTGAGTATACTGAAGGGAGGCATGTTTAGGGAGATGAGCCGGCAGGGAGACAGCCCATGAAGGCGCTGCCTGCCTCGGTGCAGACTTGACCACGGCATTAAGAGCAGACAGGCATACTAAGGAATTGTCTTCTTTAGTGCATGGGGGTCTAGGAACAGTGAACGGTGCTGTTCACTCTCTGCTGTCCATCACCCTATGGGGCTGGGAATAAAGGATGCTAAGGAACTAAGAAATAAAACATAAAAGAGCAACTAAAGACAAAAGGAGATGAAGGAGAAGTTGGAAAGCAAAGACATTGAGAAATCCTGGTATCTACTCAGAATATAAGAAATGTAAAGGAACATGGGTCGGGGAGGGCATGGTGGGGCAAGTCTGAGACACTAGCATTCAGAAGGCTGGGGTAGAAAGATGGGGAGGTCTGGGGAAGAGGGAGGGAGGGAGGGGGAGATACTGAGAGAGACAGAGAGATAAGATCAGGCAATGTCCTGCTCTAATTTACTCTATACTGTATAAGATTTTTGCGAGAGAGAGAGAGAGAGAGAGAGAGAGAGAGAGAGAGAGAGAGAGAGAGAGAGAGAGAGAGAGAGAGAGAGAGAGTGTGTGTGTGTGTGTGTATGTCCATCTATCCGTCTGTCTGTGCATAAGTGAGACAAAGCAGTGTCAGATCCTTTGGAACTGAAGTTAGAGGCAGCTGTGAGCAACTCCATGTGGGTGCTGGAACTGACTCTCATCTTCTCCAAGAAGAGCAAGCATTTAACCATGGAGTCACCTTCCCAGCCCCTCCATATTGTATAACACAGAGGTTATTCAGGCTGTCTTGTCCCTAGAGATGAGATTTTGGAGGACACATTTGGCTCCATGTTTAATGCAAATGCAGGTAAATTGTGTCCCTTGGTGGACACACGAACAGTTCCATCTGTGTGGCACCGCCCGGGCTAACAGAATTACTCCCAAAAGTAAACAGGAGAAAAAAATAATGCTCTCTACATTTATCCTAGAAAATTGGGATTGAGTCAGGAAACCCAGACCTGAGAACGCACTGAACACGGCAGAGTGAGGAAGGGGTACAACGCCCTCACCTGGACGGCCACCCTGTGTGTACCAGGTGATCAACAGGCAGGCCCTGGCCTCCTGGAGTTCCGGGATATGATGAGGTCTGTTGAACTGTAGTCCGTGCATCTGTCTGGACCTGTGGCCCATCCGTTCACCTGCCCCAGCCCTGCCCTTTGCCTCTAGTCTCCACAGTCCCACACCTCGCTTCTTCGGCTCAGCTCTGACTGAGTGTCCTGATGCAGCCACAGCATCCGCAGGCTGTCTCCAGCAGCTCACTCGCCCTCACACTCTTCCTGCAATGTACTCTAACGCGGTGGCTCTCAACCGTCCAATGCCGCGGCCCTTTAATACAGCTCCTCCTGTTGTGGGGACCCCAACCATAACAGTATTGTTGTTGTTATGTCATGACTGTAATTTTGTTACTATTGTGAATTATAATGTAAATATGTGATATGTAGGCTATCACATATATGTGATTGCTGGGAAAGGATCACCCCATCACAAGGGGGTTGAGACCCATAAGCTGAGAACCACTTCTCTAATGAATGATTTTAACTTTTTTTTTTTTTTTTTTTGGACAGGGTTTTTTCTATGTAGCCTTCCTTGGCTGGCTTCAAACTCATAGAGATCAACCTACCTCTGCCTCCTGAGTCATTTTTGGTTTTTTTTGGGGGGGGGGGAGTTGTTTTTGTTTTGTTTTGAGACAGGGTTTCTCTGTAGGTTTGGAGCCTGTCCTGGAACTCACTCTGTAGACCAGGCTGACCTCAAACTCACAGAGATCCACCTGCTTCTGCCTCCCAAGTGCTGGGATTAAAGGTGTGCTCCACCGCTGCCCAGCATCATTTTAGCCCTTTTAAAAAAGAGATTTATTTTTATTTTATGTGTATGAGTGTCTGCCTGTACGTATGTATTGCACCATGTGCTTGCAGTGTCCATGGCAGAAGAGGGTATTGATCCACTGAAACCAGAGTTACAAAAGGATGTTGAGTCACTATGCATGACGGGATTCAAACCTAATTCTCTGAGTTACATTAAGTCAGTACTCTTAAGCCCTGACATCTCTCCGGCCATTTTAAAGCACAGGCCCCATTGGTCGAAGAGGCTTGAAGCTTCTTTTTGTTCATTTTATTCTAAACCTCTGTCTGAGTGACTCTGTGGAGGCAGCTTCAGTAAGCAAACACAGCAGGGCAGTACCTCAGACAAAACACCAATTTGAAGAGTGATTCTTTTTTTCTTTAAGTGACCTTGAGTCTGGGGATTTTCCAAACATCCCCTTGCATAAAAATGAACGTAGAAAAGTAAAACTTTAAACAACGGACAACTATCAGAAGACTCAGCCCACAAGTTTCCAGTAGATTCAAAGGAAAGGCAGAAAAACAAAAGCTCTGAGCCCAGGTTGGTTCAGGCCCACACGGGTTTCTGGGAAACCAGGAAACACAGTTTGCTTCACTTCGAAAAGGCTGACAGCCAGCGTTTTTGTTGGACTTGAGTTCTTAAAGATGTAAATGTTTCCTATTCCTAGATTTTGGCTCAAAGCTCAAGTAGCACTCCTTACAGGGACCAGCTTGATAAGAACTTAGGAAATGAATGGACAATTACGTCTCAACAAATCTTCCCAGCAGTCTTTTCCTCCATGCAGAAGTGTAGAGGGCTGGAGGGGTGTGGGGTGGGGGATGGAGTAGGGGTAGGATTTACAGATTCCTCTGAGAGACTGGACAGTATTTGCCTTTCTGAATCTGGCTTGTGTCACATACTACAACAGCCTCCAAGTTCACATTGTTCCAAATGGCAGAATTTTCTTCATCTTTATTACTGTGTGTGTGTATGTATGCGTATGTGTGTGTCTGTGTCTGTGTGTGTATGTATGCGTATGTGTGTGTCTGTGTCTGTGTGTGTCTGTGTGTGTCTGTGTGTGTCTGTGTGTATGTGTGTGTCTGTGTGCGTATGTGTGTATGTGTGTGTCTGTGTCTGTGTGTGTATGTGTGTATGTGTGTGTCTGTGTCTGTGTGTGTATGTGTGTATGTGTGTGTCTGTGTGTGTATGTGTGTGTGTGTGTCTGTGTCTGTGTGTGTATGTGTGTATGTGTGTGTCTGTGTCTGTGTGTGTATGTGTGTATGTGTGTGTCTGTGTCTGTGTGTGTATGTGTGTATGTGTGTATCTGTGTGTGTATGTGTGTGTGTGTCTGTGTGTGTGTGTCTGTGTGTGTATGTATGTATGTGTGTGTCTGTGTGTGTGTGTATGTATGTGTATGTGTGTATGTGTGTGTGTCTGTGTGTGTATGTGTGTATGTGTGTGTCTGTGTCTGTGTGTGTATGTGTGTGTATGTGTCTGTGTGTGTCTGTGTCTGTGTGTGTATGTATGTATGTGTGTATCTGTGTGTGTATGTGTGTATGTGTGTGTGTCTGTGTCTGTGTGTGTATGTGTGTGTGTGCATGTGTGTATGTGTGTGTCTGTGTCTGTGTGTGTATGTGTGTATGTGTGTGTATGTATGTGTATGTGTGTGTCTGTGTATGTATGTGTGTATGTCTGTGTCTGTGTGTGTATGTGTGTGTCTGTGTGTGTGTGTATGTGTGTGTGTGTCTGTGTCTGTGTGTGTATGTGTGTATGTGTGTGTCTGTGTCTGTGTGTGTATGTATGTGTGTGTGTGTGTCTGTGTCTGTATGTGCATGTGTGTATGTGTCTGTGTGTGTATGTGTGTCTGTGTGTGTATGTATGTGCATGTGTGTGTGTATGTGTGTGTCTGTGTGTGTGTATGTATGTGCATGTGTGTGTGTGTGTCTGTATGTGTATGTGTGTATGTGTGTGTGTATGTGTGTATGTATGTGTGTGTATGTGTATGTGTGTATGTGTGTGTATGTATGTGCATGTGTGTATGTGTGTATGTGTGTCTGTGTCTGTGTGCGTATGTTGTTTGATGGACACCTTAGCTGATCCCATATATTAGCTATTTATGAATACTTATACATTAATTTTGATCCTATTTATGAATACTTATACATTAATTTTGATCCTATTTATGAATACTTATACATTAATTTTGATCCTATTTATGAATACTTATACATTAATTTTGATCCTATTTATGAATACTTATACATTAATTTTGATCCTATTTATGAATACTTATACATTAATTTTGATCCTATTTATGAATACTTATACATTAATTTTGATCCTATTTATGAATACTTATACATTAATTTTGATCCTAGGGGTACAAATATGTCTTCAGTCTTCAGATAGACAGGTAAAAGGAAGACTGCTGCATCCTATGGTGGTTCTAAATTTGAGGGGCATGTTCATACTGTTACCATAGTGACCACATTAACTTCCATAACCCCTAATAGCAAGTATGCAATAGTTCTTTTTTTCCAAATCTTCACTAAAACATTTTAATTTTTTAGTCATCAGAATGAGTAAAACTTTAAGGTGGTTTTGATTTGCATTTCCCAGAAGCCAATGTTGTTAAACATGTTTTCACACACCTAACACTCTTTGTCCTCTGTACTGTCCCATAGAAAACACCCTCTTTCTAAGAATACATGTCTTTCATCCATGTACATGGGGCAAGATAGGTGTACTGGATAGGTGTTCATGTCGACTTGATACAAGCTAAAGTCATCCAAGAGGAGGGAACCTCAATTAAGAAAACACCTCCATATGATCAGGCTGTAAGCAAGCCTGTTGGACATTTTCTTGATGATTGATGGGGGAGGGCCCAGCCCATTGTGGATGGTGCTGTCCCTGGGCTGGTGGTCCTAGGTTCTCTAAGAAAGCAAGCAGTCTGGCCGAGAAGTAGTGGTGCATGTCTTTAATCACTGCACTCAGGAAGCAGGGGCAGGTGGATCTCAGTGGTTTACAGAGTGAGTCCCAAGACAGCCAAAGCTGTTACACAGAGAAACCTTGTCTTGAGAGAAGAAAAGAAAGAAAGCAGGCTGAGCACATCATGAGATCATGAGGAACAAGCGAGCAGGCAGCATTCCTCTGTGGCCTCTGCATCTGCTCCTGCCTCCAGGTTCCTGACCTGTTGGAGTTCCTGTCCTGACTTTCATCAATAAGCCCCTTTCTCCCCAACTTGCATTTTGGCCATGGTGTTTCTGCCACACCCAGAACAGAACCCCATAACAGAGTCCAAGGAGAACAGGAACATGAGACAAACACTGGCTTCTTAGTACTCCAAGAGGAGTTGTCTTAGAGACAAAACAATTGTAGTCATTGGTTCTAGATAAATTTCATGAGGATTCCTGTATTCCTTGCCTAGCCCAAATGGTTCTAGTCCTTGTCTTCTCTCCATCACTTATCTCCATGACACAAAGGAGCAATAAAAACTATAAAAGCAGTCCGTACCATGGAAGACTCTCATCATATATGCTTAAATGAGGGTTGAAAAAATTAATATAAGCATTTCCCTCTCCTCCCCTCCTTCCTTCCGAAGAGGCATTAGCAATGCTTGAGATTCCTAGGACAAAGCAATGTCACTGACAGAGCATCTGGAAATCTTTGTGTCCCCTGCTAGGGCAACACCCCCCCTACTAGGGCGGTCAGCAGGAAGACACCACAGTTGACAGGGGGTGTTTGAGGAGCAAACACTGTGGTGCTGACAGTACTGGCGGGGTTTGCTCAAGGCCATGAGGGCAGCCGTGCCAGATGAGAACACGGATGAACTGACTCCTGGCCGTTGGGAAAGGCTTTTTCTTCACTAATTCTCACTTGTAGCAATGACGACTTGAGAATGTCTACACTTAGCCAGTCCAGTGAATTTGACTATGACTCAAGGGCACACCTCCAGGCCTTCTTCACACTCGTTTCACTATATAGTCAGCAATGAGTCATAAAGCCCACATTCAATGACAGACTTCTGACAGAGCTACGGCAGGCAAGCAACTTGGATCATTAATCTCTCTTTGACTGTAGTCGCCAACTACTGAGATGCTAACATTACCTTATAGCTGTGAGGTGTTCTGTGACCTAAATAAGATGAAGCCCCAAAGTAAAAGTTTTTACTCAATAGGATAGGATCCCCCAGAGGGCTGGTGGGTTTGAGGCAAGGAACGCTGAAAACAGAGAGTAAGTCCTTTTTACTCCTGAAGCATGTTGGGTAGGTTGGCCTTTAATTGCAGCGTTGCAGATGAGATGGGAAACTTGACTCAAATGCTATGCTCTGGATGATCAAATGCTGACTAGCTTCCAGGCAAACGGAGTACTCTCGTCACAGGAAAGTGCTGGCTAGGTCCATACTGTATGCAGACGCCCGCAACCACAGCACTTAGGAGGCTGAGGCAGGAGCCTCATGAGATTTGAAACTTGCCCGGCTTATACAGCAAAACCTTGCCTACCCTCTTCCTGAAAAAGTATCATTTCTTATTTCAGCAAACCTTATATT